GATGGCTGTGGAGAGATGTGATCCCAACAAAATGGGTTGAATGATGATCAGTATATTAGTACATGTAACTAATTCTCTAACTATGTTGCAGTTAAAATGCATGAACAGTAGGGTAATGCTGCCAGGCTCTCTTAGATGATTTCATTGTATGGTTACAACATAAATGCATATGTCATTTAGTGCTGTGCTCAGAATATCGATACAGCGATACATCGTCATGAACTCCTAACGATGCGCGTATCGATACAGCTGCTGCTGTATCGACACTGCCGCATCACGTGACGTCGAGTGGCCATTTTAGCAATGTGAGCAGCAGCGCACTATTCAAAATGGATCAGAGGATTCTGCCACCGCCGACAAAAGTAAAATCAAAAATATGGGACAATTTTGGGTTTTACACTCAACCGGAGAGTGAGTCATGCCGTATGCAAGAACTGCAAAGCAAAAGTTAAGTATTCCGGCAACACGACGAACCTCTCACTGCATATGATGAGACATCATGCAGACCAGCTAGCCTCGGTCGGAGCAGGTAGCAGCACACACCTACCGACAGTTTCCCGTCTTCTCGGAAGAGTTCGGAACATCACAACATTTTTTAGGAAAAGTACAATCGCCTGCCATGTCCTGCACGAGAAGCAAACGTTACTTGGCCTTCCTGAGCATAAGCTGATGACCGATGTCTGCACGAGGTGGAACAGTGCACATGACATGTTGGAGCGATTTGTAGAACAACAGCCTGCAATTTGCGCTGCATTACTCTCAGCTGAGGTGCGGAAAAATGCCAAAGATCTGTGGACATTAACAGAAGCAGACATAGCCTGTGCTGAAGATGTAATAAATGCACTGAAGCCACTTAAATTGGCAACGCACGTTATGTCCGATGAGAAAGCCCCTACGGTTTCAATCATCGCACCTTTGCATGCGCAGTTAAGTCGCGGCACTCGGATTGAAAACACTGACTCGGCAGTGACGCGGGACATAAAGATCGCTGTGGCTGGAGATCTGGAGAAAAGATATGAGCGTGAAATGCCCTTTCTGAACATGACCTCAGCGCTGGATCCACGCTTTAAAGCACTGCCCTTTTTGGAGGAGGAGAACAGACAGGATGTCTACACCAAAATGGCAATGGAGGCATCAGACTTCACTTGAAAGGGTAAGTTAGACTGTCAGAAAACTAGTTAATGTTCATTTTATCAGCTAGTTATATTATAATGCGAGTTATTGTCTTGGTTATTACTTGGTTTTATAGGTTCTTTTACACTACATATATGTTTTTATCTATCTACACTGTAAAAATGTTTTGTTGAAGATCAACTGAAAATATTTAGTTTTTATTACGTTTTTATTAATGTGGGCTACATGAGATCTGTAAAATTTATTAATTACAATGTCATGTTATGATTATTTCAGAACCAGAATAAAGAACAGAACAGAAAGCATACCGAGACAGATCTGTCCCCACCCTGCAAGAGAAAGTGGACGCTTGTGCTCTTGAGGACTTATTTGGAGATGCATTTTCCCCTCCCAAAACAAAACATCCACCTGTGTCACCATACAATCAGGCAGAGGATGAAGTCAGGAAATACAGAGATACAGAGGCATTAACTCTTATAGGAGATCCACTCATCTGGTGGAAGGAGCACCAGTCTGATTTCCCATTACTATAAAACTTGGTAAGCTGTACCCTCTGTATCCCTGGTACAAGTGTAGCAGCAGAGAGGGTTTTCTTCACTGCTGGAGATATCATTACAGCAAAGAGGAGTGCTCTTAAGCCTGAGCATGTTGATCAGTTGTTGTTTCTGCATAAAAATCTGAAGGTGTAATTGTGTAAAGTGATGTGTTTGTTGCACATTCCACCACTTGAGACCAAAATATTAAGGTGTTTAAAAATGTGAAGTGTTTGAGAAAGTTAAGTTTGTTACAGTTTTTTGCTTTTATGGAATATGTTTCAAGTTTTGTTCAGCCATTGAGCCTTGTTGACATGTTTCAGCACTTGACATTATACTTATTTAAGTTATTGAGTCAGAGACTTAAAAAGCAGAAGGAAGATCTATTCTATAAGTTTTTTTTATTTTTTTATTATTTATTATATTTCACTTATATTGTTGCTTGTTAATGACAAAGCAAAATTGTTTTTCAGTTATCACAACTGTTATAACACTGGCTATTCAATGTACAATAAACAAATATTACCTTTACGAAATTCTGCTCAAAATAAATTTAATTCCAAAATTGACCCGTATCGTGATACGTATCGTATCGTGGCTTTAGTATCGTGATACGTACTGTATCGTGACATTGTTTGTGATACACAGCCCTAATGTCATTCATATTAGATAAAATAAGATACATATTCTTTTTTATATTGACCCAAAAAATAGGTCACATGGGTCTATTATGAAAGGGCCTGGGGTGGGCGATATGACCAAAATCTTGTATCATGATATACGTAATTTTATATCACGATAACGATATGTATCACGGTGTAGTTATTTTTTCTTTTAATAAGGTTTTTATGATAATAAAATCTTTGATACCATAGAATTTTCATAATCCTTGTCACCAATGTCAATATCAAACTAATACAAGAAAATAATAATGATAATAAAAAACAAGCTCACTGGAAATAAATAAACAGTCAGTGATGAAATAAGAACAAGAAACTAATTACAAGCAATAGGACAAAAACTACAATAAAAAAGAAATACATTGTGTAAATTAATTAGTCTTCACTGTGTAAGTTATATCTATCTATCTATCTATCTATATATATATATATAATTATTAGCATTATCATTATCACATTATTTATTTATTTATTTTCTTCTTCTAGTTACAAAAGTGATTTAGTCAAGAGCAGTGAGAGATTTTCTCTCACTGTTGTTTGATTAACATGAATGGCAGACAGGACGAATATTAAGACAGCTTCCCCCTTAAGTCCGGATCCAATATACTGTTACATATGCGTTTACTTTTTCAGCTGTTTACTCTCACTTAAGACCTAAATGACTGTATGCTTGTGATACTTGCAAAGATGGGCATTTTGACACATAGAAGATCTTCTCTTACTGTTGTTTGATTAACATGAATGGCATATTGGACAGCTTTCCCTTTAAGACCGAAGTCCAGATACACTATACTGTTACACATGCGCTTTCTCTCGCAATGGTTTACGTTCCCTTAAGACCTAAATGACTGTGTTTATGAGGATACTTGCAAAGCCCGGCAGTTGGACGCATATAAGTGTTTATGCAATCGTTCAAAGCCAATAAAGCGGCAAAAATGCTCACGAGCTCTATTAGCAGCTGATGCGCGGCTTACGCACTCCTCTCACACAGAAACGGAGACAGCTCGACAGCATATAGCTCTGTTGTTTCAATGGCCTAAAATCGGTTGTTTTAAACTGCAGTGCTTAAAAACGCGTGCAAACATGAAGTTTTCGTGACCACACGCACAGCAACGTGACGTGAGTGCGCATGCTGTTATTCACGTTTCTGCCTGCATCCCCGTGTAATGCATGTAAGACTGCCGTCATTCAAATGATGAAAAAGTATTGCCGTAAACAATGTATTTTGCGGCACCACGAAATAAACGATAGAGCATAATATGAAACGATAGACTTTTAATTTCGTCCATCCGATATATATCGTCATATCGCCCAGCCCTAAAAGGGCCACAAACAAACAAAAATAAATAAATAAATAAATTGGTATAATCGTTTAAAATGGATGAGATATATATGTTTTCTACATCAAACTCAAGTCTTTTGGCACAAATGTATCTGTCAGTTGATTCTAGTCAAATTAAGTGGACACTAACTTGGACAGGTTGTGTGACTTGCCCTCATCTTCAACAATTAACAAATTAACTACGCGCAGATAAACATCAAATTTTCATTTTTGGGTGAACTATCCCTTTAAGTAATTTTGCATATTGTTACATCCACATAGTTTATGGCGATATTATTAAATCAATACCTTGAATTGTAAAGATTGTAAAATCTCCTGTTCATGAAAAAAAAACAGATGAGAACCACAGATTAATAATAATAATAATAATAATAATAATAATACAAATAATAGTTTTGTCAGTAAAAATAGATTTTAATGAAAATTTAGATGAGTATGAGTAGTTATACTCAGGACTGTCACTATTAATTAAATGCATCTGCTAAATGACAACATGCGATTAACTTTCTCACTAAATATAGATCTAAACATAACATTTAACATATTCCACTACATAGGCTATAAATGAGGGGGGGGGGAATGAAAATCTGCAGACACTCATTTGTAAACTAGTAGAATTCATACAAAACTACCCTTTCCCTATAAACACAGCAAACTTGTAGTGATTAGTTCAAACTTCCTGGCGAGTGAAAAGACCACTTAATGGACGCTATATGAATAGTGGGGTTAAATTATCGTGTTTCTCTTGACCTGCAGTATGTCAACACATCCTGGCATGCATCACAACACTGCTGCTGACCTCATTCGCATACCCGCCCTCTTCTTAGATGACATATATTGAATTGTATGCCAATTTATGAACACTAAATACAAATCTAGAGAATGTCAAGTGTAGTTTCACTGTGCACTACCACGTTTTCAAGTCAGGTTGCACTCGCTCCATCACAGCAAGCTAGTTAGTCCTCAAATAGCAGCTAGCTACATCTACGCGAAAGATACACTAGTTACCTAAAGCATAAAACAAAAGTATTTTCTGTTATAAACGCTAGTCCCCGGTTTTTTTTGCGTGACTGTGAGACACTTATGTCGGCCTGATCCAGCGCGAGGCCAGAACTCTGCTGCAGATGTGTCGCGCGCGCTAACTCCATGACAAACTCCCGGCAAACTGCAGCTCTACGACAACACGAGCGCACAAACACGCGCTTTCAAGTCGCTCGTTCCTAAAGACATGAAAGCACGTGTTCATGGTCGCGAACAGAAACAGACGACTGTCTGAGGTGGATGAATTTTCGCTAGCTGGCTGCGTGCTTACCTCCTCTTCTTCTCCTCGCTTTCTCCAGTTCACTCCCATACATACATACACGCGCAGGCACGCCAGCAAACAGATCCTCTGAACCGCGGAAGTGTCGGCGTTTATCGCTTCCACATTAAACACCGCCGGCCTTAATGACGGTCAAGTCAGATTTCTTTCTCTTTTAAGAAGCTTGACAGTGAAATCCAGAGTGTGGCATGACTGCAGGGCCGGAGGTTCGTGGGACAGTAAT